AGGGGTTTGGATATTTTCTTCTTAAAAATTGAAACTGGCGTTTTTCCAGCAGAACGCGTTAGATATTCCTGGCCTATTCCGAATTGAAACTCCAACTGTATGCGGCCGACCTAACAATGATCTAGTTTATCTTCAAAAGATAGGTTTAAAACAATTTAGGAATATTTAAAAACTTATTATATGTACATATCACTATGCGAACCGCACACATTCGAAATAACCCAGGAATATTGCACTGAAAAAATCGCGACGGACAAACGTTCCTGAGCCATTTCGGAACGAAATTCTAATCTTTGCGGTCAAAGTAAGCACAGAAAATACTATTACAACAATTAGAGGGTTCGTATTCCACTGAAGGATCTTAACCTATTATATTGTTATATGTTATATCCTTTTCACTTTGGACTTACAGATCCTCGATATTTCTATCAGTCCCTGACTTGACACGCCCTAAAACGCTTCTGAATCGCACAACCTGCACGACACTTACTGAAGGATCGCTGCACGCTTCCAACCATTGGAGAAACTTCTCACCATGTTCCACGGCGTCACGTTGGGTCAATTTGTCTTCTTCCGCTTTGGCTTCCTCCCATTTCACAACAATGTCATTGTTATTGTCCCACGTGCTGTCCAAGACTGATCTCTCTTTGTTATGGAAGGCCCTGTCGAGCTGTTCCCTTTTTTCTTTATACATCAAGAGATTCTCAGCACTTTGAAGAGGAACATGCCTTGCCGTTATGGACGTGTACCAGTGGGTCATCATGTAGTGTCTACGATCTGCCAGGTAAGAGGAAGCACCGTTGACGTTTGGAACGAACATGTTTCGTCTCTTGATGCCACGTTCTACGCTCAAGCGGGCCGATCCTGCCCAATTTCGTTCGCTCTCTGTCATACGGCTGCTACATTGTTGAGCTTCCATTTTATATGGCGGGGTCTTCATGCTGGTTCTTGGTTTTGCAGATTTAAACTTCAAATCAGCTCCATTATTTGCAGCGTGACGTCCGTTAGCTTTGAGACATAGGTCTAACGGTTCATCTTGAGCAATGGTGGGAGCACTAGGCGATCCGTTCATGTTTCGGCAGAGGTAGGATATCTTGCGCTCGTTCTTACACCATCCCCGAAGGGTGGATTCTGGAACACCGATATCCCTAGCGACGGACGCTTTTGTTTCTCCACTATGCACCCTCAGTATAGCGTCCATTTTTTCATTAGCGGTAGCGACCGCTTACCAGTATTTACCACAGACATTATACAATTCAGTAGCGAGCACTTGTTGCGGCTTAAACTTAACGGTAGTCAGAGCGCGACTGATGATCAAGTACGCCTTGCGGACGGTGGTCGTACCTTTGCGCTGCAGTGCGAGGGAGGTTTCTTTAGCGAGGATGGTGGGGATGACGGAAGCCAACCTGACACGGCTTGACATTAGCCACGCCCACACCATGAAGGGCTGAATCCGAGCGGCCAGCCAAAACGCGACAAAGGGCAACCGACGTATCTAGCACGACGCACAGTGTTATCTAGAATACCGCAAACCTGTAGAAAAATACAATTTCTACGGCATTTGTAAGATTTCATTAAAACAGAGGTCTGTCTCTATGAGAACATTTGAAGATTTTCAAACGATGCCGAGCAGTCCCTCCCAGCTGCAATGTTATTTAGGTTTTTCTGATTATTAGTCACTATGAGGGCATTTGAAGTTTATTTGAAGGTCTCTCCAAGGATAAATTCTTAAAAAGTTCGATAAACGAATCCGAACACATACAATAGCGTTGCAGTATATAAAGCTATAATAGTTTGCGAAAGTTAGCAAGAACTGACACTAGATTTTATCGGGCAGTACTCCAAACTCCACAACCATCATTTATTCGATGTGGGCCAAAGGGCGGAACCGTGCTAAAAAACCTGAATAATACTAATATAAAGAAGTGAAACTAAAAACTAGTAATTAGCTCAAGAAGGCAAGGATCTCGCTATGGAACTGCCGAAGGTCTGAGGAAAGAACTGGGGAATGAGGCTTAAACAAATGTTTTGGCTCTATACCATGGTCATTAGACCTATGATAACACTGATAAATTCAAGATTTCTGACATGGCAATTTTTGGGTGTATCTTATGTATTTTGAGACCCTTAAATCAAATCTAAAAACAAAATGTTTCTATCACCCACAGATATTCGTTAACATCTACTTTTATGAATTACAATACGTAACATCTGATATTGCTGCAAATCTCGGCGTTTATGCGATGACGCACATATATGATGTTAAGACCTGTCTATTCGTGTTTATTATATCGACGGCTTAGTGTGTAATACGGTGTATCCCCAAAAAGCGAGTTTTACAGTACGAAGAAAAAACGATTTACTCAAGATTACTTTGTCATCTAAAGCTGTTAGATTTGTTTATTATCACATTTGAAATTAGCTTTATCTGTCTTAGACAAAACATCGACAAGTAGAGACTACTCCAGCTTTGTAAGTGGTTTAAGAAGTATTAGCATTTGATCATTATGTTTGATACGACCTGTTTGTCTTCCACAGTGGGTTATGTCTTTTTTATTCTATATAAAAATTAGGAATTTAATTGGGATACAGCATATTGTGTGAATATAATTTTGTTATATAGTCGTTTATTATTTGCTAACAATAAAGGAAAACATAAAAATATAATATCATACAACTTCAATTGTTGTCTTGTAATAAAAAATAAAAACATATCCAGAGTGGCGGCTTCTTACAGTAGACACAAGTTCGGTAACAAGCAACAGAGTAGGAGAATCCTGGATGAGTCAATTTTGTTTCTTGTTTTTGACTTATCCGTATCATTATTGCACTTCTTGTTTTTCGGAAATAAATAGATTTTATAAAAATTGATTATACAAGACCTTTAACTATCTTTTTCTGATTACCGCCATTTTCCAAATTAGGTTTCCCTGACTTTTATCAATTATGGATACTCTCACTTTATCTACTTTCCTCGAGTTTCTAGTACTATTAGAACACTGTAAAATTTGTTTTGTTAGTGAGTCAAGTAACAAGTTGTTCCTACCTCTTAGCTACAATACCTTCAATTTTAGTTTATAATTGTCCGCCGACGACTTTTCTGGTTCTTCTTCGACGTTGTTTGACTTCTTAGTTTATTCTATCTCTTCCGTACTTCCTTCATATTGGAGTGTATCGTAAAAGTCTACATCTTCAGACATTACTTTTTGAATCGTTACAAATGATCCCATTCCTTTTTTGTTATCTTAAGCCTAGTCTCTTAGAGGTGTTTGGGCTTATAGACTATTTCAATTTGCGCCTTTCAATGAGACATGTACTTCTGCTCAATCGCTATATTATACCATGAGGCCAATAGGGACAAGGCATTGGACAATATGCTGTTTTTGTTTTGGTGTCCGCAACTATCTGACCACAACACAATCGGTTGGCTAGAATGTTCAAAGCAGACTCTCCTTCATACGCGCTCCGTTTATTTGGAGTAATGCTAGATGTCATTTATGGAATGCGCCAAGAGAATCTATCTGAATTGTTCTCATAAGCGTAAGTCAGCGAACTCCTTGGAATAGTTCGGTAACGTTCGATCCTGCGACCCAAACACAACCCTTGAGTATGTGTTTTAGAATACCATTTCAATCAACTGATAATCACTGACAATGAATAAAACCTGCTGAAGCGTATTCAAGATAGCGCTAAAGTCCAGCAGCTCAGTGTAATAAACGCAGCCTTTGTGTCAGTGGAAGACAGAGTAAAGCCATGAGTACCCTTTATGGTAGTCTGGGTGTCAAAAATCCGACTTAAGTGTTAAACAACATCAGAATAGACATCTAGAAGATCTAGCAGCATTGGGATTATTGTACATCACTTCTAGTTTGTCGTATACCAACAGAACAGTTACAAGATCCAATAGACTGTAACCAATCTTTACTTTTTAATCAAACTTCCGAACAACAAACAAATAACGCTTTCGAATAGTATACATTTCTAATCAGATTTCTTAGACACTTACTCTGGCGTAACGCTTTATGTAAAAACCATAGATAGCATTATTTGGCCAAATAAAGAGGGCACTATCAACCAACTCAATTCAGGTTCAGTGAGTAGTGGATGCTGAGGGATACAGCTTATTGGAACCGAAAATAATAGCTGATTTAGATACGACATATTAGAATATGCGCAAAAATGGTGATTTTATTAGCATGTTGGCAATGACAAATTGACACATACTTAATAGAACTACCCTTTTCCATTTGAAATCCATCAAAATCTCGATTTCGATATTTTGTGGGATACGTCGTATAGAATTGTAATCTGTAACTGATTTTGTATTATTCTTTTATTTAGTATGCGTATGTAGTCGTTTGCATGCAGATTTGAATTGGGAGAGGGAGCAAATTGAAGACGGTTATAATTATAAAAAAATGTGCAATTTTGCTCGATCTGGTCAAGGTTTCATTCTATTGTAAAAAAAATAGGATTGATTTATTAATGATTTAATATATGATGAAATTACAGGATATATAACAATTGGCACTAGTTGGCCTCAGTCGTTGTTAAGGTATCCGAGCGGTAGTCGATACTAGTACTTTTATTTGAGTGCGAACCTTGCTATTTTTATAATGAAGAGAAAAAAAATGTAAGAACGACCATGATAAATTTTGTTATATATGTGGACAAATTACTTTACCTAATCGAAGTCAAACGTCACGAGTTGTGTGAAAAAACTGTATTTAGCCTACTTTGAAATCAAACTCGGCGATCAAAACAAGTCATTCGCGCCTCACATATGCTGCAAAACGTGAGTAGAAGGTACCAAGAAACAAAAAAATCCTACTTGTGGTATACCGAAGGCAAAGATCGTATTACTGACTGTTATTTTTGTATGACTAATCTACAAGGCAAGGATTTATGTAATTTAGTTTTCTAAATATATATTCCCGAAATGTACAATCGCCACCATGTCAAATACCCCGATGTGCCATCTGCATTAAAGCCTGGTAGTCATGGTCCAGAAGTGCCAATTCCAGAACCTCCAGAATACATACCCAGAGTTGTCTTCAGAATCTAATGACGAGCAAACAGATGATGATATTGGTTTTGAGGACACCGTTCGAATAAATCAACCGAAACCCTTTACGCAAGGCGAATTAAATGATCCGACGAGAGACTTATGTCCGTCTAAGGAGTCTGCACAATTCCTAGGATCTCGTCTTCGTGAAAATAATTTGCTAGCTACGGGAACTACAATCTACTGGTATCGTGTTCGAGAGGAAGAGTTACGAATTTTTTTGAACAAGATAAAGACACAGCGTTAGTTTACTGCAAAACATAATATCAAGGGTCTCATTGAGGCTTTAGGTTTAACATATACGATTGTAGCGAATGGAGATTGTTTATCGATCCATCTAACAAAAGAGGTATATTCTTTAATTCACCGGTTGAGCTACCGGTGCAACCGGTTAGCCAATTTTGCATCCTTTAATTTCCGCTGGAACGACCGGTTGTACATCAAACTTGTCTTTGTATTGATGATGGATATGTCACCGGTGCCGACAGCATCCACCAACGTTCGGGCTCGATGATCCACGATATTCTAACCTCTACATTTTATCAGTTTTGACAACTACAGTTTTGTGTGAAAAAATGGAAGAAAAAGATTGAAGTTAATCTACAGCATAGGAGTCGCGTGAAATTTAATGCTTTTTTTTCAACACAATTCGAGATAAACATAGCATCTGGAAGCAGTTAATTTGTTTTTGAATTATACCTACATATCGACAATCTCAAATCAGTCCCTAGTAAGTCCGAAACGTCGATTTCTCATTTTGTTCTGTTTTTATTCCTGTATGAATACTTGAATGCTATCAGAAAATCCATATCGATGGTTCTTATTCAGGAAGCATCGACCATCTCGAATCACTGCCTCGAATTGAGATCGTCGATATCTGAAAATTCTTGGTTTTCTGATTTATAGTTCATATATTGATTCTCGGAGCGCAAATTCGCTCCGCTGGAAAACTTCCTTCATCCGAATCATCACTCGAAATCGCTTAACAAACGTTCCACGACAATACCAACTGCTGCGTACACTGCCATGATGATTTTAAATGATACGGTGTTCCAATTAACAAGTATCCATTTACGATAAAACAATGGTTAGGTTTTCTGAGATGACAGCAACCTGAAGGCTAAAAATGCCTCTTTTATTAACGACCATTCAACGGAACCGGTTGCTGACGTCATCACATCAGCTGTCAACCATAAGTTCACCGGATCCATCAGTGATGGAATCAACCGGTGAATTAAAGAATATATCTTTTTTTTATACTCCAATTACCACGAAGGCCTAAGGCCTAAACACCCATTGGCACCGTGGGGCTATAGGGGGATACAGGGGAAAGGGAGACGCCACACGGACTCGGGCGAGGAACACGTGTGCATGCAGCATGCACACATTCTGGCTCCGCCTGGGAGATCCGCCGAGTGGTACCTCCACGTTCGACATTCAGAGACCGTCTACCACCTACGGGCAATCACAACATCATAGCCAAGAGAAAAATTTCTCCTGGGACGGGACTCGACCCGCACAGCGCACGGCGACTGATCAGGAGACCGAAGAGTCTACTACTGCGGCCACCGCTGCTGCCTAAACAAGGCAGTCCTTTTGTTTAATGGTAATAGAGTCTCTTCTGTTCCAGTGGGTCATTCAGTACAAATGACTGAAAGTTATGATTATATGGAACGTTGACTAACCGCTCTGAACTATCGAGACCACAACTGCAAAATATGTGGAGATCCGTATGTAAGCTTAAAGGATTTTTATTCTACAAATTGATTTAGTTTCTTTTTGTTTCCTCGCGAAAATTCAAAATCTTTTTTTTATTTTGAGGTTTTATCTTTATTGCTTGGTTTACAAGGCGGCTGTACCAAATACCCTTGTTTTCTTTGCTTATGAGACAGCCGAGCTGATAGAGAGCACTATGTAAAACGAAACTGGAAACTAAGGTCTGGCTTAGCACCTGGCTCACATAACGTTCTAGCACATGCTTTAGTGGACCCAAAGATAGTACTACTTGCCCGATTGCACATTAAACTGGGGCTCGTGAAAAATTTTGTCAAGGAAGGTCGTGCTTTCAGTTTTAATTGTCAAAAGTTTCCAAACATCAGTGCTGCCAAACTGAAAGCTGGAATTTTTGATGGTCCTTAAATCCGAGAACTGATGAAGGACCAGGAATTTGACCAGAATATGGACGCTAATGAAAAAATGCATGGATAGCACTTAAATCCATTTTCCAAAACTTTCTGGTAAACGACCGAAGTCAAGAATAACAACGAGAGGTCGAAGACCTGTTACAACGCTTTCAGTCTCTTGGTGCACGCATGTCTGTAAAAATAAATACATTCGGTCTTTCAGCACTCTTATCGAATCAGCAATCGATCGCAAACGGTAACAGTGGTTAGTTATCGGGCATCGGACCTGTTGTTTTGTTATGAAACTGAAATGCAATACAGTATTTTAATGCAGCAAGAACGAAATATTGCATGTCTAGTGAGAAAAATATCTATGATATACTCGTATCATTGTAGCTCTTAGGTGGCGAACTCAAGTACCTATGAATTTGTGATCCATAACAAGCCATAATAATACCTGGAAGTTCCTCGTCGTTATCCAGGACAATGTAGTATTTTTACTGATAGAAGGTGCGCGTGGTTCTATTTCGAGAAACTGTATTTTTTATACTGATAGAAGACTCGCTTCCTGAGGAGAAAAAGTGCAGTAGTGTCACCTTCGTATATATGTGTTTCATCGCTGCAGAAGAAGTTAACTTTGAGATTAAACGTTCGATATGAAGAACAAACAAAATTAGTTGACAAATGTGAAAACAGACGTCAAAAGCTGTCAGAATGATAATACAACACTTTCAGGTTTTGAAATTCCCTTCTTCACTCATAAAACTCAAAGAGAAAAAATATATTAATTTTTTATTTTTTTTATCGGTTTAACTCTACCGAGCAGCCATTCCTATCAAACAAAACACACAGTTTAAAATAAACATGAACTAAAGAACTACACTGGACACATGGGCGCCCATATATCAAAATTCAAGAGGGCGGTCCCAAAATATTCAGCAACATTTCCGTCCATATGCGACTGTTTGTTCTAGAAAAAGTCCAGAGAGAACGAAATGCCGATATTTCAGGGAGTCATCTCACGGATTCGCATTTCTCTCGATCTGCGGCTTTAATATCGCGTATCGGGCATAACTGTGTTTGACAAATCGAAAAAGTTTCCGGATCGTTCGCCTGCCTGTGTACACGTGGAGGAAGACGAAGAAATTTTTGATAGCATGCCATTTCGTCTTTGATCTGGCGAAATTAAATACGTCTGATGTTTCCTTAACCGCTCATCCCGGTATGGCAATTATACATATACAGAGTGATTAAAGAAAAAGTAGCATTTATCAGAGTCTAACAGTAGGTCCAAAATAATGACACGGAAAGTCCAGATAGGCCTAGCCAACATTTTTCGATAGGCACACGTATCTTTATTTAACAGATATGAAGTTTCTAACTGAATATCCAGAAGATGAAGTAAGTCCTGTAAATCATCCTGTGGTTTTCATCTCCATAGGACTCCAGTGTATGGCCAAATTAAACTACATTTATGTTTAAATTCGTGTTGATTGTAAGATGTTTCCGCCAAGTACAATGGCAGTAATGATAGTATACTTTGTTTAACTGTCTTTCAGGCGATAATTCATTTCTTTCTTCTCTACATGCCTAAACAGTGTGTAGCGAGAATAGATTGGAATGTCCTGTAGTATTCCGAGATCACGCGGAGCCATCATTGGAATTTCAAGATACCACCCTGTAAAACCAGAAAAGCCTAGGATTGATTGGGGTTGGCATTTCGCTCCAAAAATAACGCTCAGACCCCCAAAACTACAAGCGAGCATGAGGTTATCTCTCGTTTTTTGATGTACCAGATACGTCACCCTCATCCATCGTTCCGAAATCGCCAAAAGTCGAAAACGCCGAAACCTTCCCCCCTGTTGATGCAACATACCGGTTGGTTTGATGTGGTCATACAATGAAGTACTGTGCAGAAGATGCTTCGAAAAATATCAAACAATTGATCTTTCATAAAAAACATCGTAAAAAGGCTCGATTCAGCTGAACAAAGTCTTCGAGATGGGTGCCACATGAATTAAACGAGAAGCACTTGTCGTGACGAGAATAGCATGTTATGAACCTGGAATACTTGTTCCCCTTTCAACCCAAATTTGAGCCTCAGCAAGGAAATGTTGTGTATATGGTGGGACATCTATAGACCAATACATTACCGGCTGTCGAAACCGAATAACAAACTGAAGAATATTGTCAGGAAATAGCTAACTGCAAGGCAACACGAAAAAAGTCGGCGATGTTTAATAGAAGGAACACTACAGCGTTATAATACCAGACCACGTACTGCTTTGAAAACCCGTCAGGGAATCAAAGGGCTAGACAAGAAATTTCTCATTTGTGGTTATAAATTTAAAATGAAGATCAACAAGCAGATAAGAAGTTCTATAAAAATTAAAATTTAACACAGTTTGCCATCACATTGGCAAGAGGTCATACACGAGAATAGATCCTATGTGATTATTAAAGTTAATCAAAGGTATGAAACAATTATTTTGTTTTGAACTAAAAACATACGTCCATAAATGTGGTTACCCTGATTCAGATAACGTCAATGTCAATTGCCAAAAGGTACCAATACTATCAAAACGGCACGTGCTAGAAACAACTTGTGCTTAAACTTAAAAAACAAATGGCGAGCTATTGGCAGTAGCAGTACTGGTAAATAAAAGCATTATGTTGAGCGGAAAATTAAATCATGTCACTTCCCAGCTATTTGCTGCAATAAAGTTTGTGTTGCAACACAGATATGCGTCAGTTTTATTATACCGCTGGTAAATTATTAAAACATATTTGTTAGTTAACGTATAGCTCCAATTAAAATTATAAAATTTGCATTCCGACCCAATACACACACGCGCCTATTCATCATTAATTGATCGCTGCCATAGTTTGACCAGAAAGTTTGTCATATTTCACTAATGCTGACTATTTATTGAAAATTGTATTGCTCAAATATTTATTCTGCTTGCTGATTATATACCAGGTTTGATATTCATTTGCTGCATTATTGTTTTTTTCCTTTTGAATGGTTATTTTATTTAAATATGGAATCTCCTACTGTTTGTGCCTCGGTTTTTGCTGTGCGTTTGCTATTTGTGTTTACTGTGAAACAAAACGTTTAT